CTACTACACTTCTGTTATGTCACTTTGAAATGTACCCACAAAATACATAGAGACCTCTGAATGCTTTCTCTTAAAGTGTCAACATTCTGGACCTGATAGTTTTAATAAATTACTTTAATTCAAATCCAATTTATTTTTAAAAACAAATGAAATTAGTTTGAATCATGTATTTGTATATTTCAGCACAAACTACAATACATCTAAAACACACAGAGACCAACACTCAAATATTCTCACCATTGGGTTGAACAGGCAGTGGAGGTGTGTGTGTTGGGGAAAAAGACTAACCAGACAGGAGCAAATAGCAAAATAATCCCCAGCAGAGTAATAAACATTATTAATAAGGAATTGCAATCATAATAGAAGACGTTTTCAAAGTTCCAAATCACACAATGAAAATTAAATGTTGATGTTAATGTTTAAAAAAATGTATATAAAACATATCCCTTGTGCAGTATACACATACACACAAAATACATTTAAAGGTAGAATTTATACAGCCCATTAAACACAAAGTGTATTTCACAGTGGCCCCAAGTAGGTGCTCTTGGTGAACAAAATATACTAAGAAATAGAAAGTGGGTTGTACTGCCATTAACCCACATACAAGAAGAGAGATGTTCTTAATGTGAAGCCTTATATAAATAATTATTTATGAGTGAATGAAGATAAACACGCCATTCAAATATTAGTTATCCTGCCTCTGCCACACTAAGAGCCAATCCTATAGTCCTGATCCAAAAATCAGTGGGAATTTTTCCTGGGTAAAAATGGTTCATAGGCTTCAGAGAATAGAAAATATGTATTGCATACATTTGCTGTAGACAAAAAATGTTATGAATGTGTCCCTAATATTGCCATGAATAATGTGCTAACCTTACTTTTCTAACTGACAGACTTTTTCAGAGCATTAAACATCACCTAAAGACAGGAACTCTTAAGGAAATTGGAGCAGGTTAAGCAAGAAAATATTCAAGTAATAGCTGCAAGGAAGACTTATAACAATACTTTATATTTATGAGAAACATCTTTAAGGTTAAGATCAGGTATGGAGGGATAGAACTACACAATTTAGTTAACTCCACTAGATAGATTATTGGAGTAGGTTAATTTCTTCTGATGCTACAGAAAAAAGGAACAATGCAAGGCAATTTTATGTTACATTTTATTGAGACACTATTACCATTTAATGAACTAGGTAAGTTTTAAGTCCCTATGTTAAAAATTATTTGCCAAAAATATGTCAATGGTTATGTTTTAGGTGGAAACATTAATGTTAATTCATCTTGAGCTTCTAGCCAAGCAACATCTAACTCAATAAGCCCAATGCTATTTTTGTTTTTGCACACTTACATGTTCCAGAGACTTTAATAGAAGTTCTGGGTGAACAGAAATGAAAGATCTGATCCCACTGAAATCAACAGAAATCTCTCCATTGATGTGAATGTGCCTTGGATCAAGTTCACTGTGGGTCAAGATTCAAAGAAATTTATATGTTGTGATGGAAGCTTCCAGTCACTTAGTTTTAGATGAAAACCCACAATTTGTGTGGGAAAACACTTAGAATTATTTGCTTTTTTTGGGGGGAGGGGAGGGAAGAAAACATATCTAGAATAAAAAATCATGGTCAAGCAAATAAAGTGCTGCTCTGTGTCATATGCATAGATAGATAGATAGATAGATATTTCTCCATGCAGATTTTTCCAGAGCACCAATTTTTTTTGTCAGTACTAGAGGCTCATTATTATATGACAGTGTCCTGTTGTTCCTCCATAACAACAACAAAAGAAATGTGTTAACTTTAATAAACATACTAGACTTTCCCATGATGTCAATTCTTCTATATTCTACAGGTTCCTAAACTACTAGCAGAACAAGATAAAGGCAAGTATTTGTAGGGAAATATTAAAGGTAATTTTTGATCTAGAAAACATTCAGAACCAAGTGCCTGAGTCTTGGTCACTAAAACTATACTGCAAAATACTAAGAGATGTTGTAATGTTATCTCCTTCATAAAAAGTGCAAGAGATGGATGAGATTGCAGGTGATCTCTGGGGGAATGAGATCAAATTTCTGTAAGTGTGAATATAACAACTGAATTCTTGTTTTCTGTTAACCAAATGGGAAACTATAGAGGTTGATACTAGCTCAGCATAGCACACACTGATACAAGGGAAATTCAGGTACCAAATCTCAACCGTGCACAGTTTTAGTAAAGGAATGAAGCAATACAGCCAATAGGATCTCAGGCAGAGGACACAAAGGGTTTGTCTACACTGCGATTAGGCACCCATGGCTGGCCCGTGCCAACTTTCTCGGGCTTGTGGGACTTGGGCTACGGGGCTGTTTAATTGAGGTGTAGATGTTTGGGCTCAGGCAGCAGCCCAAGCTCTGGGACCCTCCCACCTTGCAGGGTCCTAGAGCCCAGGCTTCAGCCTAAGCCCGGACATTTACACTGCAATTAAACAATCCCTTACCCCGAATCCTGCAAGCTTGAGTCAGTAGGCATGGACCAGCCACAGGTTTTTAATTGCAGTGTAGACATACCCTAAGTGAAGTAGTGACCCCTCACTTGGACAGGACTTCTAGCTAAACTTGCTTCAACTCTTGTACCTCTTATCCTTCAAGAGGGCATGAGACATCAGGGCTCTGAATATATCATAATCACAGCTCTCAACATAAGGAGGCATACATAGTCAACAGAACCACGGGGAGGATCTTTGCGCTTATTGTATCCATCTTTTATCCACTACTTTGGCTAGGAAGACTAGCATCATACCAGTACTCCAAAAGACACCACAAGGCAGTTCAACTTGTAGCAATGGAGAAAAGATACGTAGGGAGATGGCTGGTTCAAAAACCTTTGATGACTACTAATGAAATGCACCCTGTCTAAAATTAACCCTTTACCTGCTGCTATTGAGCAAAGGACAGGATAACAGAATGTAATAACCCTCTTCCAAATCCTTTATAACATTTTGATTTTCCCTTCAAAGTCTCTCAGACAATCACATATGTACATGCTACATGTAAAGTGGTGCTGAAGCAGAGGAAGGAATACAGACGTACTGCTGCCTATGCCTGACAACTTGCTTTATAATAAACCTTCCAATTCTTTTATTATATTAGGTGTAAAGTGTATCAACAGCAAAGGCTTACTTTTTGTCAGAGTGCTGAACACTGAGTACATGGGGAGCCTCATTCAAAGTCACTTCCAGCACAAGGGGAAAGGCAAAACTGAAAAAAGCAAAGTCTTTATTTTGTGAAAAGCAAAGGTACATAGGGCCCAATATTACGAGATACTGACTGCCTCCTGTGAGGTGGTGCGGACTCTCAACTATCAGGTGATTTCCATGGGAGTTGAGGGTGCTCAGCATCTTGCAGGATCAGTTTTGTGTTTAAATTAGAGCTCTACAAGAAAAAAAAACTGCATATAGTTTAATTTTCAGTGGAAGGCAAAAAAAAAGATCAGTGCTTTTGAAACTGATATCCAAGGCAAGTCTAAACAATATGATTCCTGAATTTTCTTAGCCTTTCAAATGAGATAAGACAGTTAAAATGCCCCAACCAGCACTTCCACTGCAAACTTTTTACTGCATTCATAATTTCAAGGCAAAAATTTCCACTGAGCTGAAAACTGGTAGACAATTTCTCAGCAGATGAGGAAACACATTTATCCTAAACATTAATGTAGGGGGAACAAAACAGTTTAAGAATTTGTACATGTGAATGAATACAAGTACCAACACAGTTTTTAGTGCATTCTGATACTTCTACAATCTAGTATTGAGTGAAACGTATCACATTTTTCCAGACGCCACTGGTCACATATTAAGCAGCTATCATTTAAAGAAACAAACAAATAGATGAAGCAAAACAAAACTGAACTTTTACAAGATTAATGCTCTGGTCTAAAGGCTGCAGTTCAAACGAGTTTATGTGTGTGTTGTCTGTACTATCTTTTGCTTTTTCCAGTAAAGTTAATAGTGTTAATGTGTTTTCAAATGAAGGGGACATATTTATGTTTAAAAAATAGTTCGCATGTCCCGGTCAATATATAACAACCCTTTCATAATATGTTTTTCAGCTACACTGTGAAACCATTGGAGTGCAACAGCTAAAAACTCCATCACTGTGAATTCGATGGGTTTCAATACCTAACACTTAAACCAAACCCTTAAGACAAAACACTGAGAAAAGCCTTCTGACCCTTTACACTTTTTTTTTTCTTTTAAACTAGTCACGCAGACTGTGTACATCATTCACAGAAAATAAAGCATAGGGGAGTTTGTTTATTGTGAACTGTTTTCCAACAGCTTAATATTTTTCTTGTTTATTCATTATTTGGAATTATTCACTGCATAGTTAGGCAAATGCCTCTCGCTGTGGAGAATAGGCATGTGAAATTCATTGCAAGTGGTCAATATACTACATATGAGGTGTGTTAGCTGGTTTTGATTAGGCACAGATATGACTCAGTATTGTTTCTTTTCCCCAAGTGGATGAGTTTAGCTCTAAGAATTAAGGTTCCGGTGAGAGACTCCTGTGAACAAATTCATCATTTGCTTTCCATGGATATTTCCTTTCCATGGATATTTCCTAATATTCACGTATAATGTGCTGTTCCCTGTAACATCCAGGCCAGTAAAGTCATCTTCCAGAACATTTGCACAGCGAACACAAACGTGCATGAACACAGTCAAAAAATATTTAAAAATTCAACCAAATATTGGTGATAAACATTCACTGTTCATCCAGCTCTGCTCCAAAGGAATACAACTACTATACCATGTCAGCACATAAAATATCTATGGTGCACTTAAGCATAGCAAAGTAATAGCTACGTAAAATGCTAAAGGCTTTTAAATAGTTAGCTAGTGACAAGCTTTTTCTGGTCTTGACCCTCTACAAATTTCTGTCCAAACAGAGAGAGTGTGAGGCCTTTTTGTAAAGAGACAAATAAAAAGGCCTTTTTAGCTGAGAAAAATACTTTGACCTACCTGGACTGCATATCTTGCTGTGTTTTGGATTGGCTGATTTCAGCGGGAGGGGAAGAATGAGAGACGTGCTGTTGTAACTCTACCAAAGACTGGTAGTATTGTTGCTGATGGTGCTGCTGCTGTTTGTACCGAGACAAACTGAAAAACAGTCCTAAAATGGCTTTCAAATTTCCATTCCTTATTTCTATAAAAAAGAAGTGAAAACACCAGGGTTAGACTCTCACTTTTGTATATGTAGGTGTGTATATTTGTGTGTGTGTCTATATACACATATAGATATATGTATATATACACATGTGTGTATGTGTATTCAAGCATCATATTAGGTCTCACTATTGCTTAATTGCATTGTTATTGCAATTACTGCTTAATTATCAGTCATTACTTCTTATGTAGCATCTCCATTACTGGAGGTTTGCAAATATGGTAGCAGATTGTTCTTAACACTGTACTACACATCTCTCTACCATGATTAGACATGAACACAAACACAGGTAGAGTTTCTAAAGTAATACAGCCCTAAAGAGCTCAAGTGATCTGCAATGAATGTGAAATCAATGCATTCCCTCTGCCTAAAATCAGTACAAGGACTTGTGAGAGGTACGGGGGACAGGAGTACATTTGCTAAAGAAGTTACTTAATCAAAATTCTCCCAATCCAACATTTAAAATAAACCAATTCTACTTGAGGTTATATGCAAACAGGTTTGATTAAAACGTAGTTAAAATCTCTTTAAAGAAAAAAATCCCTCAGAATAAAGTCCAAAGTAGTTGAGAGATATTTGAAAACTATCCAGTTACTAATCAATGTGGGGTCATCACAGGCACAGCACTCTGATGGACCCTCTGTGAAGGGTTTGCAGGAAAGACTGTATATGAGCTGGCTATGCTGTCCGGCTGGAGAGATCAAGCGTTTGAGAGGATTTAGCCACATATCCCCATTTTTCAGCCATTGTCCACACCTCTAGAGAATGTAAATTGGACAAAACAGTTCCCCAATCCCAAGACATACTGCATCAAAACTGCAATTAATAATCCTTCCACAAAGGTGGTTGCAATCTTCTTTCCTTCTAGTTCAGAATTTAATTTTACACCTCTACTGTAATTGCTCCTAACGTCTGGCCTTTTTTTCATTTCTACCGGGAAATACAGTATATTGTATGTGCTTTATTATTATTTATATTTTGGCTATGTGCTACACGTTGTCCACATACAGGAAGACATTGTCTCATCTCTGAAGAACCTACAATCTAAAAAGAGAAGGAATATTCAAATGGTGGGTGACAGAGACACTAGTAATATATATACACACCTTTTACATCTATATATATTTTGAGGGGGGTTATATAAATACACATCCACTCTATTTGGCTGTCCCCCACCCCATCTATCCATTGTTAGTTGACCAAATTCTAGTATGCACTGTGGATGTATAATGTATTGTGGAAAGATCTGATAGAGAAAAGGGTAGTGGCCTTCTGGGTCAATTCAGAGACACTGTCCCTGCCTAGGAATCAGCACAGAAGACGGTGTGAAGAAGGTTGTGGGAGAAGCAGATGAGCGGACATTCCAGACTGGCACTGCCAGCACAAAGGAAGTAGAAAGTGGAGCAGAGACAAGAGCAGATAAGCAGGAATGGACAGTACTGAGCACAAGAAACTAAATTGTCTTGCAAGGATGTTTTGGAGATTCTAGTTCCTCTATTATTCCTGCAAATTTAGATGTATTAAAGTGCAGGAGCTTTACAGCACTTTTTAATGAATTTTTTATAACAGAATTTATACAAGCATTTTCGCAGTCATATCCTTAGCAAACTATTTTCTTTCTCTTTAAGAAGGAATAATTCAGCTACTGGCACATACACGAATGTGTTGGCAAAACACAGCAGCCAACTTACATTTGTTCCATTAAACAATAGCAAACAACGCCTTAGACATTAGAGCCTATTTTAATGAGAGGGAAATTTGAACAGAACACTATGAAAATTGCCATAGGATCTTCAGCTTCTCATGGAACCACCAGAGCTGTACAGAAGAACATTTCCTATATGTGATGTTCTTTCAGGAAGCCATGACTTTTAAAGTCAGACTGCGCTTGTTGTTCAGGCAAGTGGGCTCCATTTAAAAAACAACAGTGAAACAACTTTTTAAAGAACATTCTTCCAAAAGACAACCTCACTGATGACATTTTAAGCATAATTCTACTTTAAAATTATTCTCTGTACCTGATATTGGTTTGTTTATTGGTCATTTTATAGCAACAGGCTAATTTTTGTGACCTGAAATGATTAATAAAAGAAGAATCTTCTCTTTGAAAGACCAAACTCCATCTGTTTTTAAGCTAAACACACCCACTCACCTACCACCTCCATATCTTAAACCATATTTATTTTTACTTCTAAAGCAGGATATGATCAGTTTTGAACTTTATCTTTTATCAGTTTGATGAGACCAACAGCTTTTCACAAGCTTCTGTAGAAAGGCAGAATCTGTATGTCAAAATGAGCTACTAGGCCATGAGTAATATGAATAATTATTTTTTATCATTTCCAGAACTATTTACTATGTACTAGAAAAGGGTGTTTTGCAAAACCATTTCCTTTAACAGAAAATGATGAATCATAGCCCACAGTCCCCCCCCTCCAATAAATTCTCCCTAACAGTTTCCAACTTATTTTCTGATTACACCTGATGCAATGCTGAATAATGATGTGGTCATCTTGTCTCCCCCTTATATAATCAGATTAAATACTTTTATAACTCAAATTGCTGGCAGTAGCATTATAGTTAATTTTTTTCCCCAATAGAAAGTGAAAGTTAAAAAAACTTGAACAGCTAAAAACAGGGTGCTAGAATATGACCCCAAAATATGTGTAGCTAGGTGTGTACTTTATAATTCAGGGATTTTGGAAAAAACTCAGAGAGTGAAAACAATTATTTTTATTACCATACTTTCAGACCTGTGAAGTTGCTAAGATTCTCCGACCACTGAAGAACCCAAAAGCATTTTTTAGATATGTATATATTTACACTTGAAAAAAAAAAGATTACCTTTTGCTGCTACTGTTTTATTCTTTATTATCCTTTGGGTTCTCCAGTGGTGATTGTACAATACAGTTTTGAAAATTACTTCTGATCAGTATCTCCTTTTTCAAATGTCAAATCAGGTGGCAGCTGGTTGTGAAACCCTTTGTTAGGATATTAGGCTTTACTGCTCCTGTGACTGTTTGCAGCATGCACTGATGAATAACCCACCATTCACCAAAGCCTATTACAAGAAACAGACTTACTAGTTTATAAAATCCAGATAACGAGCTTTAAACATAAATATTCTGACAAATGAGTGCAAGAGTCTCTTAAAAGTTCAAGTTGCATTTATTAAGGACAAACGGATGAATTACATTTCGCTTTTCCTTAATTACCTCTCCTAAAGAGGAATGGTAGTACAGTAGTACATTTAGTTCATGCTGAAGAAATAAACTTAAGGGAGTCAACCTTCTGCTCTCAGTCACACTGATGTAAATCTGGAGTAAATTCATTTAACTAAGTAGTCTCAAAGGACTTACTCCAGATTTATACTAGTGTGACTGAGAGCATAATATTGCCCAAGGATTTTTAACCTTATTTTAATACTCAAAGTTTGTGTCATCAGTGTTCTTTGGAAGGAACTTTGTGCCTTATTTTTTTTATTATCATTATTATTTATGGTTTCAACAGAACACAAAATTGCTAGGAGAGAATTTAGATGTTTTCTAATACAAAATAATTACTGTATTTTATAGTGAAACACCGAAAACTAATAAGGACACAATAGCATTTAAAATAAAGAAAGAGGGACGTTACCAAAAATCTACAGAAATGAAGATATGACAATACATTATATGTCATTTTAGAACTTCTCCATTTTGCAGTATACTGACTTATGCAGAACAAAAATGCTAATGCATTATATAATCAAAGAGAAGGGTATATCCGTGGCTTTGCCTTTCAAGTATTGCTAGATTCAGTTAGCATCATTGGTTTTTTTTGTTTTTTTTAAAAGGATGCCTTCAGTGACCCCAGTGGACTGTCTCTCATTAGAGCATTTAATTCAGCATCCCTGTTTTATACTATCCATTATGAATTATTGGCTCATGACAGCCACAGGGAATATCCCATATAAGATAGCCAAATAAATAATCAAAAATGCAGTGGTTATAGAACTCTAGATGATAAATCAATATTTGTAATGTGTTTGCTACTCTAGTAAACAGAGAGTGAAATCCTGTTGTCACTGAAGTCAACGGGAGTTTTGCCATTGACTTAATGGGGCCAAAATTTCACCCAGAATCTCTATATACTAACACCCTGATCCTGCACTACTTGAGCACTGAAAACTCCCACTGGCTTAAATAACAGTCTTGGAAATACTGGATCAAGCCCTTCTTTCTTTAAAATAGTTAGATAAGCCATCTCTCTGCTGCAAACATTGAGAATATTTTATCAATAAAATGTATTTTTGTAATATTTAAAAAACAGACAATTGCATTAAAATACGAATTTCAAAAAAAGACTGAGATGTGTACTCACCATTTTAAGAAGAATTAGGTTTCAGAGACTGATAAGGTCTTAAAAAATATTTCCGTTTTTAATATTATACTTTTAATAGGCTATGGGTACTGACAGTGTGTTATCCAAACAAAGCAGAAGGTATAGATACAGGAGTGAATTTCAGTGTGTATTGATCATTGTTATTAAACAAAGAATAGAATTAAGAAGGGGTTTGCATCTAGAACATGCTACTGCATGGTGTAGATATGATACACTATCCTTTAAATAAATGACTGGCTTTTCTCTCATTTGATAGTATAAAACACCATGATTTCATATCCAAATTATACTTTACAATCGATTCAATTTGTAAAGTACTTCGAGAGCTTCAGATGAAGGGCATTATATAAATGCTAAGTATTCTCATTAGCAGATGGATAGATATAATAGAGAATAGATGATATCAGTGCTAAATATGTAATACTCTGAATTAAGGAAGTAATTGCCCCTAAGCAGATAACTGAGTAATAATGTGACAAAGACACCATATGCTGTACTTTTGTGTGCACTTACAGAGCAATGTTACTGTTCTACTAAGATCATATCGAGATGGAGATAGTGAGAGATAAGAACTCTCTGTTAATTTTTATATAGAACAGAAGATCTCATTCAAAGATTTCTTGCTGTGTACCTTATAGAATGAAACACGATTGCATTTGCCATCTCTGATAAAGGAGTACTTGGTTTTCTACCTTTCAGTAAATTGTGCTAAAGCAAAACTGAACAATTAGCAAATCTTGCAAAGTAGGGATCACCTTCACCGTTCACTGAAGTCAAAGGGCAGTCAGGGTACTCAGCACCTTGCAAGAGTGCTCAGCCCCATTCATGGTTAAAACCTTTATTCAATACTAATTCCGTAATACTGCATAAAGGCAGTGATAAAAATCCACTTGTTTTAATATCATTTGTATTTAGCATGCAAGCATAGCACGTTAATGAAGCTAAAAGCTGGATGACAGGCTTAATCTAACATGTTAAAGATAAACATATATAAGTAGTAGTAATTACATCAGACTATAAATTGAGAGTTATAACATAATAAAAAGAGATACTACTAGATATTAATAGTATAGAATTAGCATCTCTTCCTAAAGGTCCAGTCACTGTTCCATTTTATATATACCACACACACAAATATTTACTAGATTTGGGCCTGCTCTTAAAAATGTTTACTCATACGAATATCTTTGCTCAAGTGAGTCGTCTTCACTGGGACTAATTACATGGGCAAAGGCACTTGCATGCATGTTTGTAGGTTCCAATCCTATATACTTTATGTAGGAATATATTAAAATTTACATCTGGAAATCCCCGTAGCTATAAATCACTGGGGGGAAAAGGAAAAGGAACCAACATACAGAAAAGTAAATGACTCATTTAAATTATTGCCCCAAGTTTCATATACATATTGAATTTTCTGATTTAATTTTTAATTAAACAGAAAAGGAAGTTTAAACCATGTCTGTCTCTGTCCCCCGTCTCTCTATGTATATAAGTGTGTGTGTATTTCAATGCAGCTTCAGTTTGGTGTTTAGTTGTATTAAGAAAATTAGTTTTCAGAAAGGAATCCCATTATCTGTGTTGATGATGTATTTTTCTTACCTTCAGCAGAAAGACCTTGAACATTTACTCCTCTGGCTGCCAGAAAGCTAAGGCAGACATCAACATTCTCAATCTGCAATATGAACAGAAATAACAAGCAATTTAAAGCTATTTACAAAATGTACTAGAGTGAGAATGCAGAGAGGGGAGAAAAAGGGAATGAATACTTTACATTCATCACATACTACAGCTCTTTTCCAAAGTTTAACAAGAATGATTACCGCTAATTGGAGCATTGCTATAAAGCTTTCATTGTCCACTTTGGTGCTTAAAAACAATTCATAAAGGCCCGATCCAGAATGGCATGCTGACAGATCAGCAACCCACCTACTTAACATAAAACTGGATTTTGTACACTACAAATAAGTAGCAATGAAAGCATCCATAGAGGATTAAACACTACGCGTGTGTCTGGAGGGGACTGCCTTAATGAAAGAATGTGAGCAAAAACATTCAACAAGTGTGCCAATGAAGGTATTTGTCTGGGATGAAGTGTAATTTCAAGAAAATGATGATGTCACAGCAATGAGTCCTTGTTTGGTTTTTCTTAATATTTTTTTTAAAAAACTCATCTATTAGTATATTTTATGTTAAAATTTCTCTAAAATATACTTCCTCAGTAAAGGTCATCATGATGTGTACTGCCATGGTTGGTCCAGCACATTGCACAGATACCAAGCACAGCTGTAGATGACAGGAAAAGAAGCACAGAGCAAGAGCAATATAAGGATGACAATTCTGCCTGTAAAATGAGCAATCCCAGAATAAATGTAATGACTTTTTCTTAATAGGTTAGGAAAATGGAAAGTTCCAAACTGTGTTTCTGTGAGTCACCATCTTGGTTGTGTGTTTGTTTTTAATATTTCATAAATCTTGAAACATTAAAGTAAACAACACATTTTAAGTTAATAACTTGGCAAGCAATGATTTGATCTGTCTAGTTAAATTTCTATCAAAAATGGGCAAAATGACACATTGCCAGTGTCTTCTGCAGATTGGCTTTATTGTAAGTTTTCAACTAAAAAAAAGCTGATGAAGACTGCATAGATAAAAGAAAAGGATTAACCTATTTAAAATATGTATTGTTTACATCATCTAATTGTAAAGCATATTAAAAAATGATTCACCCTCGTCTTAATATACAAACCTGTAGGTAAGCCGGTAAATGCAATGAATTTTGTGTTCTTTGAACAGGCATCATTTGCACATTCACACATTTTACAATAAGATTTATTGGCACTTTTCTATCCACAAAGCACACAGGGGATAAATTATTAGCTGATTAAAAGGTACTTAGCCTGGAGATTATATTTTTTTCCCCAGGCTGGGACAACACTTCTCACCTGAATAGCAATGCAAATAAATAAGGAGGAAGCCCTTAAATTATTCCGCATATCTCCCATGACTGCAGTCCTCCTTCTACTATTTGAAATAATATTTTATAAAATGAACAGAAAATTTCTGTTTGCTTTCAAGAAGTGCACATTGAAGAAATTTTCTCTAAAACCTACACAGAGAGTCTCTTTTAACACGTGGGCAATGTTTTTAAAGGTGAGAACATGTGCCAAAAATCTAGATGTCAATGCTTCACCCAAAACAAATTACACTAAGCTAAGGCTGTGGAAAACAAACATTGATAACGTAAGTTCCTTATGGACTGATCAAACAGTTTTCAGCAGCTACTACGGTATATACGGTCCCTTTTTTTCTACAATTAATATGCTAGCTAACACTTTTTAAAATAAATATATTTACACTAGAGTAAATCTGGAGTAACAACAATGAAGTCAATGGAATTACTCTATATTTACACCACTGTAAGATCAGAATATGGCCATTATTTCTGCCATTTTCTAAGATGTTAATGGAATTTACTTGGGATCATTTGGCATCATAGAAGGTAAAAACAAACTGGGTCATTTAGGACCAAATCCTGAAAACAATTGAATGTGAGTATCTTTACCCCTGGGCATAACTTTTGTGCAGGAGGAGGCCCTTAAACAATACAATTTACATTCCTTATGCAAAAATACCTTGATGGGAAATTCTACTTTATCAGGGAATTTAACACAAATCAAGGTCTGTCTAGAGATGAACTATAAAAAAGTTGAGTTCATCTTTCAACTTTCAGCTCAAACACTGAACTATTTGAAAGAAGCAAATTTTACCTTAATAGAAAATCCTGGAGATTAAATTGAAGAAAAAAAAAAAAAAAGGAAAAAAACAAAACATTAAGCAAAAAAAAAAAACAAAAAATTAAATAAAAAAAAAAAAAAAAAAAAAAAGGACCTAGACTGAGCATTCAGCAACACCTACCTACAAAAAATTAAATCAAGGTTTCTTGACACACTTTATGATGTTACCGAGACATATTTCATAGCAATCGTATGCCCTTTATAGTGGGATCAGGAGACTGTGGCTATAAAAATCTGAACTAATTTATTGGGAACACTTGCAGCCTCTGTCACCTAATGTGTCTTAGTTATTTTTATGTGGTGTGTATATATAGTTGGGAGTCTAAGCATATTTCATAAATATAATAGCCCTAATGGTAGTTTTTTAAAGCGTGATTATGATCAAAAAAGAAACTATAAAAATGTCACCTAATTACTTCATATGTCTACTCCTTACAGCCTGTGTCTTGCATGCCACATCTGTTAAACTTAGCTGCAGAAGTAAAAAGTAAATTCCATTTTGCTTCTGATTCCTCAACAGAACTGTAAACTATAATTCCAGAACCATTAGTGTAGGTGATAGTATATGAAGGAATAAGAACACAGCCTGGCTTTCAGATAATAGGTTATGATTTCAGGGTAAGCCTTATAGTCCATTCTTGTTTTGACTGCAAATTGAGCAAGTTTGATACGGGGGAGTCATTGATGAAGAATAAATCGGAAGCCCTGAAATGTAATTTTTACAGTCAGTTTTCTGACAATAATTGCATTTTAATACAACTTTAGAGAACTGTTAGAAGATTCAATAAGACACTGGTTAATACATTCTTGGAGTCCTCACTTTCTTTCCCTTCCAGTCTAGAAAAGTTTGTTTTAAGGTATTCCCATTTTTAAGCTTTCAGTATATCCATAAACATTACTTTAATTGCCTTCTTCTTGCCTTGGCTAACCACAGTTATTCTTTGAACTGACACCCCAACAGCCCCAAATACTTTTTATTCAAACGTACAAACAGATGAGAATAATTTTGCAATTACAAAAGTTCTAAGAGACCTCAACCAATTTCCACTCCTCAATGTTGTTTCAATCAAGAGTGGTATGGATCTCTGAACTCCATGTTTATTTAAGTAGCTAGTGATACGGTTAAAATAGGCTGGGACACAGCTTTGCTTCACACCAAGAGTGGAAAGTAGCACTCTATCTGCTTATGTCTCGGGGAATGCAGTCTTTGCATTGTGACAAAGATGATACGTCATGTAGACCTGACACAAACATCAGATCTCCAAACTTTTCGTGCCCTACTTCCTTTACAGAAAATACTTTAGCCCTAGCTATTAAGAAGGATGATGTTCCTCATTAGCATAACAGATATAATTAAAGTTACAGAGCATCCTAGCTGAACAGAACTTAGGGCTGCCAACTGTCTAATCACACAAACCCAAATACCCTTGTCCCACCCCTCCCCCTCCCCGAGGCCCCATCGCTGCCCCGCCCATTCTCTGAGGCCCTGCCCCACTCACTCCACCTCCCCGCCCTTCATCACTCGCTCTCACTTTCATTAGGCTGGGGCAGGGAGCTGGGGTGGGAGAGGGTACAGGCTCTGGGCAGGGGCCAAGGGGTTCGGAATATGGGAAGGAGCTCCAGGCTGAGCCTCGGGCAGAGGGTTGGGGTGCAGGAGGGGATGCAAGCTCTGGGAAGGAGTTTGGGTGCTGAACGGGCCTCAGGCTGGGGCAGTAGGTTAGGGTGCGGGAGGGAGTTTGGGTGCAGGAGGGGGCTCTGGGCTGGGGCAGGGGGTTGGGGTGCAGGAGGGGGTGCAGGCTCTGGGAGGGAGTTTGAGTGCTGAAGGGGCAGTAGGTTGGGGTGTGGGAGGGAGGTTGGGTGCTGTGTGGGAGTTGGTGAGGGGTGTGGGCTCTGGCTGGGCGACACTTACCTCAAGTGGCTCCCAGTCAGCAGCACGGTAGTGCTAAGGCAGGCTCTCTGCCTGCCCTGGCCTCACATCGCTCACGGAAGCGGCCAGCACGACGTTCCTGTGGCCCCTGGGTGGGGGGCTGAGGGGCCAGGCGGCTCTGCACATTGCCTCTGCCCACAGGCACTGTCCCCACAGTTCCATTGCCCATGCTTCATGGCCAATGGGAGCCGCCGAGTCAGCGCTCGGCGTGAAGGCAGCACGCGGAGACCTCCTGGGCCCCCCCTCCAGGGGCCGCAGGGACGTGCCAGCTGCTTCTGGGAACAGCGTGTGGCCCTGGCAGGCAGGGAGCCTGCCTTAGCCCCAGTGCGCCACCAGACTTTTAGCAGCCTAAAATCTCCCGGTTTGGTTTCAGTAGCCTCCGAGAGACAGAGTCCGATTCCGGAAGACTCCTGGCGAAACCGGGAGGGTTGGCAATCCTAACAGAATCAGTTCAAGAAAGTATAGTACTCAAGGTTTGCAGGTAGGCAAATTGATTTCCACAGGAACACCAAACATGGGCCCAATTCTACCAACAGAGGTGTACATATAAATGTGTGTAGGATCAGGCTACCAGTGAACAACTTTGCACCATTGTCACTAATTCCCCAAAGTGTTGGTCAGCCCATTTTATAAAAATAATACATTTTTGTCACTTCACAACCATAATTGTTTTTTAAACAAAGATTTTGGTTTCGGAATCCCACAGTAATGGCTCAACATATTATACAGTCTTTACATTCAGGTAGTCTATATGTAAGGGGACTGTTGCCCCCTTACTAACATTCAGTGGGGGTGTTTTGGCTGGCTAGCTCCCAGCACTAAAAGGGGAAGGGTCGATGGCAAATCAGGAGCCTGAGACTGACAGTCCCCAGGAACAATGGGGAGAGGCCAATGCTCCAGATCAGCCTGATTGACAGGGCGGGCAGGCTAATCAAAAAATCAGGAGGCCAG